TGACGTGAGCTACTCGTCTTAATATAATTTATCTTCTAAGATAGAATAATTCAAATAAGTTGTCCAAATGAAATACTGGTATTTTAAACGAGCAATCATATGCAATCTTATATCACTTTTCATAATAAAGTCGACATCTCAAGATGGAACTCTAAGATTTGATGATGTATTTTGAGCAAGTAATTCCTAAAAATTCATCTTTCTTAAAGTTTCTATAAAATAGAATTTTTAATTAATACATAACTCGTTTTTTCATTCAATCGATGAAAATACACCGAACCATTATAAGGTACATTCTGAACTTGTAATGGAATATAAACAAACGCTTCAAATCCCAACCAAATGGGTACATGATACTGTGAATGTGATCCATTCAAAATGCAACCTGTATCGTGATTGTGCAGAGATCTTGAAGGATTTTTGGCTGCTATTAGCGATAAGTTTACACCGAATAAATTGTCGTACTTCCCTCGGCCGCCGAGATATCCAAGAAACCATAGCCAGTATCTAGAGTGATCTAACATAGTATCGAGAAGGTATTTGATCCAATATTTAAGGCCAACCATTAATAAAAAATTCTACAAGTCGATGGATAAAAATGGCGTCGCACCTGTTGATCAACCTCTAAAGATTTAAACTGAATAAAATTGTTATAATACAGAAATTTTGACAAGTGTATCAAAAGAATTTTAATTTGAACCCCTCTCATTCACCCCAAGTTGGTGGACTCAAGCTTGACGCGCTGTAATGTCAAGTTATAATGTTCCGACCTAGGGCTTCGTACCACCATCCCTTTGAAAGATCTGATTGATCGATGAATTCGACTCGGAGAGGATCATATGATACTTAAGCCTTAGGCATGTATAGTCATCATTTCATGTTTCTGATTGATTGATTGATTTGAAGGTGCTATCGTTAGCGGGAAGCACTTCCTCTTTGATGTCATGTTGAGAAACAAGATTAGTCAAAATTGTACTAAGAAAGTTACAGCCTGTTGCCCACTTGTGTAGTCTACCCATCACAGACTATTCTGGAATAGCTCACCCACTCTGTCCATTTTTTCAAATTGTCCCATAGGCTACCGTTGCTTATTCTGATATATCATCCCTACTGGTTCCTCTTGTAAATAAGAAAAAACACATATCAAATGTATTGATTATTATCTTCTTAGCTACTTCCTCCATTTTCTCTGTTTAACGAAGGTAAAAGATGTTGGTATCAGAGCAGGTTTCCAACATTTACCAGTCAAACGAGGCCAGCAGAGAAGAAGGGAAACATGTCTCAACACATTGATAACACCAAGCTCACAACTATAGTGCTCAATGGCAATAAAAACTACATTCCCTGGTCCAAATCAGTAACTATTGGTCTCAGTGGAAGAGGCAAGCTACAATTCATCACTGGCACCAAGGAAAAGCCCAAACCCGCAGATCCCCAAAACCAAACTGAGGCAGAAACCACCAAAATCGAAGAATGGCAAACCACAGACCACATGATCATGTCGTGGCTACTGAACACCATGGAGCCCCAAATTGCCAATATGTTTATGTACTACAGTTCGTCCAAAGAAGTGTGGGACAGAGCCAAGAAATTATACGGCCAACAAAGAAACTTTGCCCACATTTTTAGCCTCAAACAAGATATTGCAAAAATCAAACAAAACAATCAAGGCAACATGCAATTAGTGACAGAGATTGTGTCCAAATGGGAGGAGCTCAACACCTATCTTCCACCTACAACCGACCCAGCTGAAATTCAAAAAAGGAACGAAAATGACCTCATCTTCACGTATTTAGGGGCACTCGATGCAACCTATGAAGCAGTTCGCTCCCAAATTCTCCTCTCGGCTGAAATGCCGAGTTTCGATGATGTAGTGGCTACCATAGAACAAGAGGAGTCACGGAGGAAGCTCATGAACCCCCAACAATCGGAAAACACCGAGAGCAACAGAGCCTTCAGGGCACAACACCCAAACCTTAACCTCCGAAATGCGGCCAAGACAAAGGGAACCCCTGTCCCTGACTGGTGCGAACACTGCAGGCGTGTAGGGCACAATCGTGACGGCTGTTGGGTACTCCACCCTCATCTCCGGCCAGCTAGGAATACGAGGGAAAGAGGAAACTGGGGCGGTGCGAGAAGGGAGAAAGAGAGAAAATTTGGAGGTGGAAGTAAAGGGATGGAGGCGACTTCAAATGAAGAAATCGGACCTGAAGCGGCCCAACTGACGGCCCAACTAACCAACAATGCCTCTGGACCTTTAGTGACACCTACGGTGCAATTGGCCCAATTGGTGACCCAGTTAAACAGTTTGTTACAACAACAAACTTCAGGTTTTGCTCTTTCCCAATCTGATTTAAATTTTTCCAAGATAGCTAATTCTTGTCAAAATACAAGTATGTGGATTATTGACTCGGGTGCTACCGATCATATGACATGGGATAAAAATCTAGTTCGAAACGTCACGCAAATTAAATACCCTCATCATGTAACTGTTGCAAATGGAAATAAGGTCCGAATTTGTGGCTTTGGTACAACAAATTTTTTTACGAAAGACGTAAGAAATATTTTATATTTACCTGATTTTAATTCTAATCTGTTATCCGTTAGCAAAATTACCCAAGATTTGAAGTGTAACGTCATATTCTCACCAAACAAAGTGACATTTCAGGACCGAGAGTCAGGGAAGAAGATTGGTGAGGGTTTTTTAAAAAATGGTCTCTATTATCTTGAAGATAACACCAATAGATGTCATGTGTCATCCCGTCCCATAGATCGTGACAAATTGCTGCACTGGAGATTCGGCCATCCGTCTGACCAAGTTTTGAACAAACTTTTTTGTTATAACTTAGATTCTAGCAGTTGTGATGTTTGTAAGCTTTCAAAACAAACCAGATTACCTTTCCCCTTATCCACCAATCTATCAGAAAAATGTTTTGATTTGATTCACTCCGATGTTTGGGGCCCAGCTCCGGTTGATTCCTATAACAATTTTAAATATTTTGTTACATTTATTGATGACCTTTCCCGTACTACTTGGACTTATCTTTTAAAAGGGAAAAATGAAGTGTTCTCATGTTTTCAAGATTTTTTCAATTTTGTTGAAAATCAATATAATGCAAAAATTAAGATTTTGAGATCAGATAATGGGACAGAATATGTAAACAAAAATTTTTTAGAATTTTTCAAATCAAAAGGAATTTTACATCAAACCACATGCATTAATACACCAGAACAAAATGGAGTTTCAGAAAGAAAAAATCGTCATCTACTTGAAGTCACTAGATCACTACTTTTCCAAAACAATGTTCCTAAAACTTATTGGTCAGACGCCGTGCTAACAGCTACTTATCTTATAAATAGATTGCCTAGTGTTAGGTTACAAAACATGAGCCCTTTAGAAATCCTTAAGGGTAGGAAAATTGATCTTGATCATATACGTGTTTTTGGCTGTACATGTTTTGTGCACATAAAGAGACTTGACAAATTGGATAAAAACTCTGTTAAAGCCATATTCTTAGGATATTCTTCGGAAAAGAAGGGCTATAAATGTTATGATCACAAAAATCATAAACTATACTTCTCAAGGGATGTGTCATTCTTTGAATACAANTTTACTTCTCAAGGGATGTGTCATTCTTTGAATGCAAGCCTTATTACCAATCTAATGAACAAGAAAGTGCACAAAGTCAACCAATTATGTTACCGCAAAAAGATTTTATGTTTCCTGAAGAAACGAATCAAGAACAGGTTGAACATGTGGAGGAAGAACAGGTTGGTGAAACAAGTGCAATTCCTTCAGGGGGAGAAAACGAGGAAGAACAGGTTGATGAAACAAGTGCAATTCCCTCAGGGGGAGAAAACGAAGAAAATGAGTCAAGTGAGGAACCA